CCCCAAAACCCCAAAACCCCAAAACCCCAAGAATAATGACTAAATTGAGGAAGTCGGAAAATGGTTTTAAAAATTAAGGTAAGAAGAAAATTGAGTAAATATTGTTATCGAGATCGGTGTTGAAGAAATTTAGTGGAGAGGTTCTAAGAGATTTGGGGGCCTGGAAGGGTGAAGAGGAAGGTCAGGTCAGAACATCCAGATGTCTGGGGGAGGAGAGAGTCTGAAGGAACCTTCGGGGTAGAGTTCTTGGCTTGGAGAGGCAGCTTGAATTGGAGTTTATGCTCCTTTGTTGTCTGATTGTTAGTAAGATTTATGACCGTGATCAATTTCACCTTGAATTTTGGAGACTCTTTGATCATTTTGTTGTTGTCGATTTCTGTGAATATGCATTTATCAAAGATGACTTCAGATGCTCTTAAAATTGATTTTAATACCTATATATGTGTCAGTCAAGTTCATGAAGTAAATATGAATTCTTGAAGATATCCCAAAAAGACTTGAAAATAGAAAAATTTAGAGAGTTCTACCAATCAAAATTAATTATAAAAATTAAATATCACCTAAAATAGATCTTTTAAACCACAAAAGTCTGCATAAAGACAGACACTCTTTTACTTAAAAATTTGCCAAAAAAGAAAGATATGACTTTCGATGGAGGTCCTTCTCCTAAGGACTCCAACAGTAAGCTTATTCCCTTTCCATTGCTGCCAACATACTAAGGGATCCACAGTTTATTGAACTCCCGCAAAAGCGAGTCTAATTTGAAGAAAACACGTCACATAAAAGCATGGTGTATAATGGTCACCAGATATTAAGTTGGTATAAACTTTACTCAAAGTTTATCAAAAGGAAATACTCCAGCAGCATAATTTCTTTAATGCCCAGAGCCTAGATACCAAATAAGAATCTTATTTTATCCAAGTCTTTCGATGTTAAAATTTGAGATCCCATATTTTTGAAAAGATGTCAATTTTCTGCTTACCTTAATTAACTCATCTCCTGTGAAGGTAAACTTTGAAAGAGTTATCTTAGCTCTGACTCTTGGAAGAAGTAAACAGAGGCTGTTTATGTAAGGCTCAACCTCTCCATCTCACTCAAGAGATACTTCATTGATCTTTTTGGGAAGGGAAAATTTTAGAAATTTGGATGCATACCTAGTACCAACCAAATCAAGAGTGTCCATTCACCTAAATACTAAGGAGTTTAGCTCCTTGAATCGATATGATTTAGCTAATGCTAGGAAATTTCTGACTTTCCTGTTGCCTCTCTGAGGTTTCAATACAAGGTCATATTGCTCTCCAAGTTGTGGAGAGGAATCAATCTGCTGCCAGGAAAGTAGTGTCGTCAATTCTTCGTCAAAGTCAAACTCTCAGTTAAGATAGCTACTTAAGAATGCGAGCTCACATTTATACCAGCTGAGCCTTGCAGAATAGCAGATATTCCACATAAAGTCTCCCCATTGATCGTATTCCTTGAAAAGGTATGGAAGGAGGGTCATTGTGAATCCTAGTTTCGAGAAGGATCTATTAACGATGTTTTTCTTTGCTTTACTATTCATAATATTATTATCAAATTTCAATCTTCTTCCTTTAAATTGGGGTTTTGGGGTTTTGGGGTTTTGGGGTTTTGGGG